GGGTCCTGATGCAGCAGTATGCCTGTAGCTGTGACAAGATCAGTGTTGCTGAGGCAGAGTCAGTGAGGCCTGGGAGCAGGTGGTGAAGTGCTGGGGGGCAGGGGAGAGGTAATGGAGCACAAAAGGAAAAGAGATGCCATCTCTATATAATAATTGTTATGTTTCAAAGAACAAAAGGCTGAGGTGCTCTTTTAACATATCAAAGCAGACCTGGTCTCCAGGTTTTCCCAGCATCCTTCAGTCTCTACTAGTTACAGTGTAAGACTAGCACGCCCTGCCCTCTATCCTGAACACTCCAGCCCAGGAACTGAGCTGCCTTTTCCCTAGAGGCTCTTCCCTATATAATCTAGATATTTTGGTCCCCTGCCTCTTTTTTTGTCCCTTTGACTTCCTGGCTGCTGCACCTGGCTCCCTTCTGTCTCCTCTCCCTTCCCCTCCCACCTCTCCCACATGGCCCAGCTCAGTCTGGTCAAGTCCACTCTGGACTCTCCCAGATGTCCCTGCCTCTGGCTACTCCCTTTGGTCTATAGTAAACTTTCTTCTTCACTTTACCTAGGAGCAGTCATATCCTTTCCTTTTAATTTATTTTTTTATTCAATTACTATAACAGTATTAGTTATTATTTTACGATATATTAAGTATTAATAATTATTATGTTACTAGCATTTGGCTTCTACTCTGGGAAATCTGAAAAGCCATGGACAAGTTCAAGTGACCCAATTGGTACTTTAACAGACACTTTAACACTGTGTTGAGAATAGACCAAAGACAGTGAGGACAGGCGCAGGAAGCTGTTAGCCAGCTACTGCGTTCCAGTTGCTATTTCTCAGGATGCAGCCGGATGACACACAGGCTAAGATGAAGGGGATCTTGCAGGGTGGGAAGCTTACTCAGCTTATCTACTTAGGGTGAAATAAGTTGATTAGCTCTAAGAACGCCCAAAAAGAGTCTCGTTGAGCTTAGCTGAATTCAGACTTCGTAATAAAGGATGGTGTGCTACCGTCTTGGTCTTGTGTTTCTTGCCCACACTCATAACGTGCTCAGATGGGAAGTGGGAACCTCACATGAAGGCTGGATAGCGCTAGAGAGCTGCACAGAGCATGCGCATAGAGCCTGGAGCGGCTGCTGAAAAGGGAAGTGGAGCTAGCACTGAAGAGTTTTATCTGCTTTGTCCATAAAAGGAGATCAGACACTTCCCAGAAGCCCTGTACCCAGGCTGGAGTGTACATTCTGTCTGTTTTCACTCCACATAGATTTATGTTGCCCCATCCGTAGCAAATACCAGTTCTTCAGGCAGTTAGACTTGTGTTTACCCAAGTTGCTGAAATTCAAAATCTGCCTGCTCATTTTAACTTTTTACAACACAATTTGTCATTCCTGGGACTTTCAGAAAGTAAATTCGAGGACCATATCGAGGCAGGTCAGTGTGTAAGGCTCTGCTCTTGATTTTAATCTGGTTTCCCATCATGAAGGATGGCTCTGGTAGCTAATTAAGATGCATGGATGTGACCCGCTTTCCTCTTCAGAAGTGAACTATTGGCAGGGTAACAGGTCAGGCAGCTCCTTACAGTCTTGTATGTTTTTCCACTGACCATGGACTTACTCAAGAGCCTGTCAACCTATGTGTCCAGAAAGCCACCAGCAGACCACGAGAGCCTGAAGACCTGGTGAGCCACTTTGACAACCCAGGATTCTATTCATTGTCTTCACTTTTGTCTTTACTGGGACCAGTTTTGAAGAAGAGACCATTGAGAAAGAACTCTTACCTTAACATGCACATTTGGAAACTAAGTAAAAACTTCTGGTGGCAACAATTAGGATTTGATTTCCTCCAGAGTATGAATATTTAAATACTTATATAATAGATTTAGTAATAACCAGGTTTGGTGTACATCTGTAATCCTAGATTAAATACTTATATAATAGATTTAGTAATAACCAAGTTTGGTGTACATCTGTAATCATCTAGAGGCTGAGGCAAGAGGATTTCAAGTTTGAGGACAGTTTAGACTCCATAGTAAAACCCTGTCCCAGAAAGAAAAATCTTCTAATTGTTATTTTGTTTTAAATGTTATTGTTTTGGACACAGAGTCTCATATGGTCCAGGCTTCCCTCAAACTCCTGATCTTCCTGGCTCTACTTCTGTTTTGCTAGATTACAGCTATGTACAAACACATATGGTTTATGTGGCCGTCAAAGCCAGCTCTTCATGCAGCTTAGGCAAGCACTCTTCTGAGCGAGCCACATCCTGGCCCCTCATCATTTAAACGTCTTCTCTCTACATTAGCCAAAGACTAGGTTTAAAAGTGGCTCCTTTTACATTTTAAAAGCCAAGTGGCTTCTCTTTTCTTTGTCTCTGGGCTTTCTACTGGAAAGGCAAGTTTTATTTTCTGGAGCTTGCAGCTATCTTAAAGCTGGTATTAATATTGCTAGTATTTGCCAATAAATAATTAATTATACTGCAAATGACTAAATTTGGAGCATAGGAATGGCTCTCTAGAGGGAGCCCTAAAAAGAATGTTGTACTCGGAGGTTCTGGGGGCAGGGCAGCAAGTGTGGAGATTGTCTAAAGGCAACCAAGCAGCATCCATGGCTGATAGAGGTGGACTTTACCCCTCAAGCCACCAAGGCAGTCTATCCAGGAGCTCCTAGTTAACTAAGGTCATCTAGGAGCCCCTGTGTGAAAGATCTCCACATGCTGCTCTCTCTCTGAAAGGCAGAAGCACAGAGGGTTATTGATGGTTTCAAGTCAACCAGCCCAATGTCATCCAATAGCCCAGAGGGAACTCTCTGTGGCCACACTTCAGGCCCTACTCCTTAGGGATGGAGTTGGGGCTCTTCTGGAACTCCTGTGCCTTTGCCTAAGAAGGAGGCACCACTTCCTTCCTATAACAAGAACACCTGTAGGTGGGTGCTCAGAACCTGGCTGGCACTGCTAACAGTGAGACTACAGATTTCTTTTCCTGTTTGACAGTCCTTAATCCTGCAAACCCCACATGCCAACCTTACTCTAGAGACTTTACTATTACTTCCTGAGCTGCTAGAAACCAAAGGGCAAAGTAAGCAGGCTGTCTCCTGAGGTCTGGAGTAAGTCAGTTAAGGGATTTTTTTTTAAAAAGAAAGTTTAGAATTCTTTATTGTGTATTATGTTATAGATAAATTCTGCTTTATAAAGTCCTGTAAATGTTCTCATCATCATTTCTGGAGACTAAATGTCCCTGGGAACTAGAAAGGTGATGGAGAAATAGCTGCTTGTCACAAGGCCACAACCCTTCCCCAACCTAGGTCAGGGTTAGCATGATTGCTTGCCTCTAAGTTATACATTTCTGAGCTGGAGTTTTGTGGGAGCTTATGGGGAATGAACTGCTCCCTCTCCTCCCAACACCAGCTGGAGCCTGGACTACTAGGCTACTCTACCCAGCCACCGCCTTCCTTTACCATCTGGTCTCTACTTGGCTGCTAAGCCTCCTGCAGTCCAGGACCAGAAGTTTTGGAGGGAGGAGGTGGTGGGGTGAAGACAAGAAAAGGGAAGGAAATGGTAAATGAGGTGGCTCTGGCCCTGCTCTCTATGCTCCAGAAATTCTCTGTCCCTTCTATGGTGGGGACTGCAGACAGGGTAGCTAAGCAATAGGTGCAAACATCATCTCTCAGACACATATGAGAGGTGGCTGTGGCGCTCCTGTAAGTGGCTGGTGGGTCACCTGTCTTGACATGATGACCTTCTGGAGGTAGCCATGGCCTGTAGGCCACAGAGAGGGAAGGACAACTTAACAATGGGGTTAAAGGTAAAAGCACAAAACAGAGATGCTACGATCCCGAAGACAATATAGTGTAACTGGATAACCTGATCCTGAGCTGCGGAGCTATTTTCATAAACCAATCAATACTCTATTCCTTAGACTATTCGTGGTTGTATCTATTCTTTACCTCTTTTTTTTCTTTTTAAAGATTTGAAACTAGGAAGACAAACTATGCTGTAATAAAGGATGAGCTAACCCCACAAGGCAGCTACGGAGGGTTCTAGATACAATCCAAGCCGGTCGTTCCCACGTGCACTGCTCATTTTTCTTGGATCCCTTCTGCTCTTCTGAGTGAATCTGCCTCTTTAACCTGTGGGGATGATGCTTTGAGAGCTCTCTGTGGCTCTCTGGCGTGTACACAGGCGCGCAGTGCGTGCGTGTGTGCTCCGCACGCAGGGAGGGAAAAAGCGCGCGGTCCGGGCCCTGCGTCACTCCCCGTACCTGGCCAGAGATGGGTTTAGTGGTGGCTAATCCGCGGAGGGCACTTCAGCCCCGGTGTTTTCCTGAGTCCCCGATTTTCCTGCCTGGAGTGCCAGCGTCCCATCCTGCTTCCTTTCCTGGTTTCCCACCTCCTGCCATTCGACCCCAGTGCAAGAAGGATGCTGCGGGGGAGGGCTGGTGGCTGGGTGGCCTGCGGGTATGCTGCGCAGTGATCTCGCGGTCCGTTTCGGAGGAGTGCGTGCAGGGAAGCAGGATTCCTGCGGGAGCGCGGGCTCCACTACCACCTGCTGAGAGCCTCGCAGGCCAAAGCAGCCGCGGGCAGGGCTACCTGCTATAAATAGGCGGTCAAGAGCCCGGTGTGTGACCACACATCCCGCCGCGAGGGCCATAATCACTTGTGAGCACGCAGGGAATATTCCGGGCCAGGACTTCGCGCTGAGGCTGGATGGGGCGACGATCCTTGCACCTTCCCCGAGCTCTCGTGGGGTGGCGCCTGGTGGCCCCTGGGCGGGCTGAGGATGGACCGCTGGGGAGCGAGGGGAGGGAGACCGAGGAGGACCCGCACTGCAGCAGCTGTTGCTCGCCTGTGACTCGCCAGTCTGGGCCGAGTCGCCTAGCCAGAGTACCGTGGTGCGGGGAGGGAAGGGAGGGCATCTAGTCTTGTTCTTGGCTCCCGGGGGACCCACTAGGGAGATCCCGGCTGCTGCCCCCCCCTCCCCCGCCCCTGCTTCCCCCGCGCTCGCCCAGCCCGGGAGGAGGAAACGCAAGCGAGCTGCGCACAGACACCTCCTCCTCCTCCTCCTCAGCTGCTGTCGCCTCCGCCGGCCACACCGCGGTGCCTGTTGCTGCAAGCCACCTCGGACCCGCCGTCTCTTCAACCCGCAAGGGAAGCAGAGACTGTGGAGCGGTCCCCACCCCAACAGCGTAGGGCTGCAAGAGCGCAGCCAGCTGAGGACCATGGACGCCCCGCCCGCCCAGGCCATCTTCTGGGTGCCCGGGAGCACCTGCGTGCCCCAGCTCAGACCGGAGTTCTGAGAGCGCCACCTCACTGGTAGGTTCCACCTTGGGTCCTTAGGGTGCGGGGCAGCCCTCCACTTCCAGCACGCCCCTGAGCTCCCTTGCTGCAGAGAAGGCGCGGTCCCGCCACCCAAGAGCGTTGCTGTTGGGTCTCTAGGGGTGCTCTGGTGGGGGAGGGGGAAGAGGTAGGATTTCAGAGCCACCTTGTTGTCCCCTGTTTGGAGGGAACCGAAACCTTGATGCTTTCTGCGTTGCGACTAGGGTGCTCAGGTCCCCTGCTTCTCTTCCCCGCATATCCCGCCTCCCCCTCCCTCCCGCCAAATATCACAGGGGCGAAAGTGTTTGTAAGGCATCCAGCTTGGACGAGGCCGGTCAGAGTGACCCCAAGCCACCTTTTGAAAGTTCAGGGTACTTTGCAGCGGTAACTTTGGCAGCTTCTCGCTGCACGTAACATTTCTTTCTATGGGCACATCCTGTGCTGGTCATTTTGAAACCCGGCTTAATTGTTTTCCGGCAGCTTCCGGGTTGCTACGCGAGTAAGAAGCTCTCTCCAACTTCACAGGTTGCTGTTTTCTTCCTTTCTAAAAGATGCGTCGTTTTGTTTGAAACCCACCTAGGTGTGGCGTTCCCGGTTGTGATTTTATTTTAAATGGCTTGTTCTCCGGAAGTTGCTTAAAAAGGAAAAGAAATTGAAAGTGATGATTGTTCCTCTCAGCAAACGTCTTTAGCGCCCTGGTACTGATGATGATGGCAGGCATTCACCTCCTACGTACACTCCTTCATCCTCTTAGTGACTGTTAGCGTTCTTTTATTTAGAACCAGGTGTTGGAAGGGACTTTTTGAATGACCTAATTTAAATGGGTCACACCCAGGAAACTCAGCTGTCTCTACAAGTCTAAACTTCTAAACTTTTTGCTTTGCATCTACATTGATAAAAGAGCCCTTTTAAGCTCCCTAGATGTGAAGTGGGATTCTCATGAGTTGGAGAACGGCCGCACTTGGGCTTTACTGTCTCTGGAGCCTGCTCAAGGTGGAAGGGGTGCGATGGGAGAAGAAAGGGCAGCTGTACCCAGGGGTAGGAATGCACCTCGCAGCCACTCTTCCTGGACTCACTACCTTTGTACTTGGCTGAGAGCTTCCCAAGGCAGAGTTCTTTTCTCCTTTCTCGGCATTCACAGGAGGTCCCCTTCTACAGAATCAGTTCCTCCCTGGGAACCCTGAGGACTTTCTTAAGGAATCAGGAAGATGCATGGAAAGTGCATAAGCAGGTGCTTTTCAACTGTTAGAAATGGGAAGCTGGGCCTCCAGTGTGCCTGCTTTTAATGTTTGTTCCTACGAAGTTTAGAGGAGCCAACTCTCTAAGTTTATCTGTAAGTAACCACTGATGTGCCGTGAGCTACTGAATGCTAGATGCTGCAGTGAGTTAAATGGTGCCTATCAAAAAGACTGCACGTATTAACTGAAGACCAAGGGACCAATTGTGGTGCAATGGACAGTCTAAAATCAGCAGAGGACCACTAAAAGGGATGCTTTTATTTGGTGGATTTGTTCAGTTGTTTACAAACCAGTAGAAAACGGGAGAAAGCATTGGTGTAGTTATGACTTATTAATACCAAAGGAGAGCTTTGCAGTGGGCCTCCCTAGCCACAATCTACCCTTATCTGTCCCATGGAGAGCTCAAGGGTTTCCTGATAACCCTTCTAACATACAAGACTAACATTGTCACAGTACCTGAGGACATCTGGAGGCGGTGGGTGGCTGGAGGATCACTGACTGTCCCCTAGCCCTTCACCATGTAGCCTTTGTTCATCGGTGATCCTACATTCCCAGGAGACCTGGACTAAGAAGCCCACAGCCAAGGTGCAGAGCCAGGTGCTGGTGGGAGCGACTTCGTGGCTCATTATTTTCTAGGATGTGCCCCTAGAGAAGGACTACCTGATGCCCCTCCCCCAACAGCTATTTGCTAGACTACAAGGAAGACAACAAGGATGCTTGCAGAGTGCTGTTTTAAATATGTTTCTCTTTTATCTCAGCAAATGAAAACTCTCAGAGTCACCCAACCCCAGTAGGCCCCAGTCACCGAGGTTTCTATAGTCTCAAGAGAGCTTAAAACACTTATATGCTCTTGTGTGTGTGTGTGTGTCAGTTATTTTGCCTTGCCCTTTCTGGGTTTGCTTTACTGCCCTTCTCAAGTTTAACGACTGAGGTAATCCCAGTACTTGATCTGTCTCTCAGCCTTGTCAGCCCTGTTCTGTTCTTGGACATTAAACTTGGAGAAGTATAATCTGTTCATTAAAATGACCGAAAGGCTCCAGCCGTAACCAGGGAGTGTAGGATTCCCATCCCAGGAGCTGAGGAAACGGACTCTGTCTTCAGAGATGCTCCTATGCAAACTGCTTTGCTGTCTTTGCCCCCCCCCCCCCTTCCTTCTCAACCCTATACTTCAGTGAAAATATTTTAAAAGAAGATTCTTCACAAAGAACATGATGGTTTCCACGGTCAAGGGTTTTGATATTTTTCAGTCCAAAATTCAATTTGGTTGGTTCATAGGTCTAAAGGCAATAGATCCCTTCTCAGACTGCAAACACATAGGAAAGTTTTGGATTGTATGAAATAACCCTAATGCTTAGGCTTTAATGAGATCAAGAAGAGTGTGGGAACTATGTCTTAGAAGTACAATTGATTCTGAGTTTGATGTCACCGTCGAGATAACAGCAACCAGTTCTCTCTTACAAGATAATACCTATCGTGGGTGTTATTCCTCCATGGTCTTGGCTTCAGTTCCTGCCTCCAGGTTCCTATCTTAACCCCTCATTAGTGGACTGTGATGTTGAAGTGTAAGCCAAATAAACCTTTCTCCCCCAAAGCTGCTTTTGATCAGTGTCTTACTGCAGCAACAGAAACCAAACTAGGACATCAAGGAACAGATATATGGTAAGGGCACCCAGAGTGTGACATAACATGGTGAATAGCATCAGAAGTTAGAGGATGTGTGAGAGGTAGAGGTCTTGAGCCAAGAGGGGAAGTAGCAAAGTGGGGGGGGGGAGCCAGACCCCTTTTGTGAGAACTAATATATTCTTGCAGAAGTAACTCACAGTGAGAGGAGTGTTTATCTCTTCATGGGGGGGGGGGAGGGGCTTGATCCAAGACACTAGGACCTACCTTTTAAAGGTTCCATCTTGTTTTAACATCACCACGTTGGGTGCCAGTCTTCTCGAACGTGACACTAGGGCATCCACCCAAACCACATTGAGCCCTTGCAGGGAATGATGTGCTCGAGCGTGTGGGTGCAGGCATGGATTCTTGAATCTTGTTGGGCTGTTGTGATTCCCACAGTTCCAAAGAGACTGGAGCTCAGGAATCTTGACTGAGTTTACTCTGCGTATGGCACTGGATGGGCACTACAGGCCTCGCCCAGTGGGGGGAGTTCTCACTCAGTCTGGTAGTTTTTCGGGGGGCACAGAGCTCTTGGATTGGGGATCCCTGGGCCAGGAGGTGACCGGGAATGACTGATCTCAAGCCCTTGGGCTCTCAGATGCCGCTGAGAGGCCATGGAAGGACCAAGACTGGGGGCATGTGGGTGAGTGACCGGCCGACCCACAGCCAAGAGAGAAAAAAGGTGGTGGGGGGTTTTGAGAAGAAAGAGGCCCTGGCAGCACCCCATGGGAGATACTTGGTTACTGTATTGGCTTAGCAGACTCAGCGGCCTGGCTAGCTTGCTTGAAGATCCGGGTCCTTGTGGCTGGAACACAGAAAGTTCCTCCAGGCAGGAAGTTAAGTGTGGCTCAGCATTAAAGGCCTTCTCCACGTTTTCCCATGGCGGGCCCCAAAGACACTAGAAAGTCCATGGTTCCAAAAGGGTTTATTTTCATGGCAGATGGTAGATGGATCTGGATGCACCCCCTGTAAAACTCAGGGCAGACCCGAGTTAAATAGGGAGAGAGAAGGGGGAAGGGTCTGGAGAAGAATGCTTAATTGGCTCTGCCCTCTGGCCTTCAGGTATCTCATTACTATGTAAATCCTTTTAGGGTCTGAGGCCTGTAGTCGTGTCCTCTACCTGTGCTCTTTGGGAGGGGCTGCAATGGCCTATGTGACTGAACAGTGAAGGTCAAATGGAGATCTTAGACCGAATGTTAGGACCCTGGATTCTGAGAGCACGGCAGAATGGATGCCCGTCCCTTGCAGGGTCTCCGGGCTACTTCCAGCCAGTGCTCTACCACAAACCAAGAACCCTTTCACAGCCAGACAAGCCCTGGTACCCTTCTGGCAGCATTTGGGCAGGTGACAGCTGAAACTGCCTAGGCTAACTATTGAAAAATTCTATCCTACTCTCTGTGGTTTGCTGGGATGGGGTGCTATGGAGCCGGGAAGAAAGAGGGTTTCCACTGCACAGCTGCTGAACTCCGGCTTCTCTTGTTCTTAGCCTTCATGTACTTCTCCCACATTTTTGTTCTTCAATAGAAGACGGAAGCAGCTTTATATCCTCACACAATGTGGAGGACATTTGGTATCCTGCATTATGGAAATTGCAGTCACCAGATTTTTTAGAAATAGAAGAAACTTGGAGATGATCTTATTTTGTTCTTCTATAAGAATAAGCTTCAGATTTGGAGAAGTTAAGAGACTTGCTTTTTTAACTTCACTCTTGAAAGTGTTCTTATGGGGGAAATTGAGGTTCTTTCCAGCTTTTGGATAGCAGTCAGGGGCTTGGACCGTCCCAAATCTGTCACTTAATTTAGACAAGCCACTTCTCTAGAACCTAATCACTTTGTTTCATATATGAGGGAAATTCCTAAGTGGCTTACAAGGACCTGGCTCTCTTTAAAGTTTTATGATCCTAAGTGCATCCTTTCAGGAGTAGCTGATCTTGTCTACAAGATTATTGAAAGAGCTCCAGGAAAAGTGTGCTCTGTGTTTGGGTAGCTATGTTCAAAGGTTATACGGGAGGCTCAGGCTTGTACACACATGACTACTAACAAGAGCCTAGGAACAGGTCATGATGTTTACTGATATGGGTACAAGACAGAAGGGACCTCACAATAGGTGGTTCACATGTGAGTTTAAAATGCAAAATATTTACTCCTGAAAGTGAGGTGACTTGGGATAGTTCTGAAAATGATGCAGTAATTTGCTAATCTTATGAGGTATTTCATTTATTTCATGACACTTTTGATTGAAAAGTAATATGATTGCTTACCTAGCCTAAGTTATTCTGAATCTTGTTGCATTAGTTACTTTTCTTTTTGCTTCAACAAAATACCAAGCAGAAGCAGCTAAAGGGGAGAGACTTCATTCTGGATCATGAACTCAAAAAATACCAATTCATCATGGTGGCCAAAGTTAGCCAACTTGTGTTGTTGTGATTGACAGGAGGAAAGGGGTCAGCCTGCGTTGTGGGAAGCGTGGTGAGGCTCTTTACATCTTGAAAGAATGGGAAAGGAGCATGGGCTGAAACCAGAGGTGGATATAGCCTTAGTATCCTGTTCCCAGCAGCTGGGCCACACATCCCGAAGGTCACACAACTTCCCCAAACAGCAGCATCCACTGCTCAGAACAGGAGCCTGTGGGGACCAGTTCATATCCAAACCATAACACTTATGTTAGAATAATCTGAATTACTTGGAAATAATTGTGTGTGATATGAGCTTCACTTTGATTCTTTTTCTAAGCAGTGTTAAGGTCTAACTGCTTTTCACAGACACGCCAGAATCCTACAAGAGTGGTTGGAAAGGGAAGCACCCAAAGCATTCAAATACTTTTGCCAAGAAAATGGCAGAACTAACTTGATGAATGATTGTTCACTGAGGGACTGAAATGACAAGAAAGTGGAGAGGGATTTTTGTCATGCTTGTTACCACCTGATTTATAAGTGCATTACCTAAAATAATTGATAGGTCTCAGGTCTGCCCTTTGTGCTAATTCTAGAGTTTCTTTAAACACGTTGTGGGATTAGCAGCTGTCAACGGTTAGAACGTAAAGCAGACTCAGTTACAAGATTGGACATCAAGCCAGGCTTTTACCAGTAAAGGGAGAGAGAATATTATTTACTGGATTATATGAAAGGCTGTATACTAGAGTAGAGAATGAGAGGGAGAGACTCCCACTCTCATGAAATATTTTCAGGCATGAAATAATATACTGCTTTATTGTTGAAGGTTTGAATACTTAAAATGAAAAAAAAAGCCAACCTATAGCACTGGGGCTTGAGAAGTTCCTCAGTTAAGAGTGTATACTACTCTTTAGAAGACTAGAGTTTGATTTCCAACACCCATTTTGGGTAGCTCACAAATGCCTGAAACTCCAGCTCTGGGGAGACCTGATACCTTTGACCTCCAAGGGCCCCTGCTCATGTGCAGGGTATGAGTATGGATATCCACACACATACTCATAGTTAGAAATAATAAAAATAAATCTTGAAAATTAGTTCTAAGCTATGTTCAAAATACAAAATGTTACTTTTAGAACACATGCATATATATGTATGTACATATATATGAAGTATGGGAAAACAGAGTAAAAAACAGACTTCATTTCTATCTTAGAAAAGGTTTAAAATTTGAATATTGATTTTTCTAACCCCAAACCTTAACAGTTTATAAAGCTTACAACCCTGTTGAAGGATGCCCGTTCAGACTCTTAAAATAACCGCAATGACGGGGCTCAGAGTTCAGTAATGGAAAGGACATGCTGCTGGTGGTTCTGACTTACTAGGAAGAAAGAGGCTGTGGTTGCTTCAGCAGTGATGTAAATATTTAGGCTAGAGTCAAAGGATGAGAGTGGGGCTGGTTGAGCAATGATTCTTTTCTGTGGGTCTCTAATGTTTCAGGGATACCGAATGCTTTTGTTCTGAACTACATCTCTCATCATAATTCTGACGTAAACATCTACAGCTGACAGAACTTGTGACTTCCTCTGGTGCAAGGTGGATGTACTCCTTCCCATAATGGAGATCCCTAAGCCCAGCTTCTTTTTACTGGAATTCACTGTGACAGGTGCCATCTGTCCCGTGGAAGTTGGGAAATTAGCATCAGTGCTGACTCTGGTTGTTGCTGTCGGTCCTTTACCTTCCACGCAGGAATCTTATTTCTTCTCTCAGCAGTTTAACTGTGAAGGCTTGCTTGTCAGCTACAAGTGCATTCATGTGCACATACCCACACACATATACATAGTGTACGTGTGTGGTCCCTTACAGTCAGTGATACGTCTGATCTTCTAAAGAGGGGGATGGAACAGCATGTACTGTGGCACCAGTCCATGAGAAACCACATCATAGTTGGGGATGTGACTGGTTCTCTATCTTAAGAGCCAAAAAGTGTACGGAAGAGGACATCTGAGAGAATATAAGGCTTAGGAGTCCAAGAGAACGTTCATGTGTAGAGCACATGGCGTGTGATGACTCGTAGAATAGCAGAAGCATTCCCTAGGGGAAAGAAAGGTCAGATATATTTATATGGTAGAGTCAGGACTGATGGGATCGGGGAGGAATCTCAGAGACTCTGGCCAGTACTGTCATATCCATCCATAATGCTGCCAGAAGGTCCACATGGTAAAAGCTTGGACTTTGAGAAGCCACTCAAAGATAGAAGATGATGGGACTGTTAAGAGGTGAGCCTTGTGTGTGTGTGTGTGTCTTTTATTCACTTTACGTGTTAGTGTTTTGCTTGTATGTATGTCTGTGCATCATGTGCGTGATTGGTGGCTGCACAAGTGAGACGGAGGTGTCAGATCCCCTGGAACTGGAGTTACAGATGGCTGTGAACCAACATGTGGATGCTGGGAACTAAGTCCTCCATAAGAGCAATAAATGGTCCAAACCTCTGAGGCATCTCTCTAGCTCCCTCTGGCACCATGCTTTTCTCCCTCTGACACTATGACACTCATATTCTCCAACAGATTCCCAGGAGGGTCTTTGTGTCCCACATTGAGTGTGACAGTTACACCATTTTTTTGGTGTAGCTGGTTAGTTGTAGGTGTAATACAATTTCAGGAAATCTCATTCTAGGCTGGGTTTATTTGGACGAATATCCATTTCTTCTTACGTTTCAGTTTCAGACTGTTAAATTCTGGAATAACAACTCTGCAAGTAGCTATCGCTGTGGCTTCATTAAATTCTAATGCCCTGGTTTTTTCTCCCCCAGGATTCTGCCCTCAGAAGCACGTGAAATAGATTACTTCATTTAAAGTAGGAAAATAGTAGCACGTTTTCCAGACCTCTCCCAGGATGGAGGCAATCACATTCACAGCGAGGAAGCATCCGTTCCCTAACGAGGTCTCTGTGGACTTCGGCTTGCAGCTGGTGGGCTCCTTACCTGTGCATTCTCTCACCACTATGCCCATGCTGCCATGGGTGGTAGCCGAGGTACGAAGACTAAGTGGCCAGTGCTCCAAAAAGGAGCCTGGGACGAAGCAAGTCCGCCTTTGGGTTTCGCCCTCCGGACTGCGGTGCGAACCTGACCTGAAGAAAAGTCAACCGTGGGACCCACTGATCTGTTCCAGCATCTTTGAGTGTAAGCCTCAGCGTGTTCACAAACTGATTCACAACAGTCACGACCCAAGCTACTTTGCTTGTCTCATTAAGGAGGATGCTGCCCACCAGCAGAGCCTCTGCTATGTGTTTAAAGCGGATGATCAAACAAAAGTAAGTTGAGATGGGTCTCAAATGATAACGCATGGGTGGCTAGAGTTCGTTTGTTCGGTGCCAGGGTCGGGATGCTCGTTTCCAGTATACGGGGAGTAATGAGAAAACGCTGCCATTATACAGAGATTGCTTAACAAAATTTGGGACTTATAGGGAAAGTTTATAGTGCTTGTTGAAGGTCGTTTATAATATATATTTAAAACGATAAGCTTTGGAGTCAAAAATTCAACAGAAAAAAAAAAGCTGACTAGAATTATAGATAAGAAATGAATTATCAGGACTCATGTTCCTCAAAGTGTTTGCTTTAAAATGTCAGTGTCTCTCTAGTTGCAATGTGCATGTAAGCCATTGGTGATGGGGGTAAAAGTAAAAAAATAAAAAACAACATAGCTCAGTGCTTGGTTCCCAAGACTGCGTTTCTCATAAACAACCAGGTGAAGGCCAGGCTATTCCATTGCAAATGCGTTTTGGGTAGCAAAGTTCTAGATCACTAAAAAAATTAAGTTATTAATAAACCACTAAGAAAAAAATAGTATTTAAAACCATATAAATATACTTTTAGTCAGTTTCCCAAGGCACAGATAACATTTACCCATACAAAGGTTGTTGATAAGAACAGGAGTTATGAATCTAAGTTGTGATATGATCAGGGCTCTTTTGTGCCCTTTTTCCTGTCACTAACTTCTAGTCAGATCCGATCACCCCGGTATTATGATGTGTCTGAGAGGAATGTATGAGGCGAGGTCAATATTCTGCTATTTCCTACATATTTCTGCTTGCATGGTGACCAGAATTATTCGTAGATTTTTTTTCTGTAGGGCTCACTTCAAGTCGCTCCTCCATTTCATGAATATCAGCACATGTAAAAATGAAAATATAATCTATGCAGGTACTTTCTCAACTGGACCCATGGAGGAAACTATAGTTTAATACAGTACACAAGAGATAGTCATGGGTCCCACAGCTAACCCCACGAGTGGCTTGAGGAATATGTCTGCTGTCTCAGGTGCTAGGCATTAGCACCCTGATATGACTGGAGCTGTAGGCCACTGGTACCAATTGAGGATGTTAAGGAAGTGGACAGTACAGTCTGTGGTTCTCATGTAACTGCTAATCCTCCTCCTTCCACCTCCCGAGTGCTGGGGTTATAGGAGTGCCCCCACTATGGCCAGCTATGTTTTCCCAATTTCAGGTTTTAAAAATGTGAATAGAAATGCCAATATTTTCTATTGCTTCTTACCGGGTTCTTTTGCATACTCTCCGGGGTGTAAGAATATCATTTGGAAAGGAATGTTCTTGATGCCGAGTATAGCTTGACCCTCCACAGCCATAGGTTTCGGGTCAGTGGATTCAGCTAACAGCAGATAGAAAAATATTTGCCAAGAGGGCGCAACCATGCTGAACAAGTACAAACACTTTCTCTTGCCCTTAACACTCTGTATAACAATTCACAGAGCGCTGGTGCTATGCCAGGTGTTATCTAGAGGTTATTTGAAGGATACAGGAGTTGATGTGGAGGCTATTTGCAAACTCTGATATTTTGTATGAGAGACTAGTGCATCTCCAGGTTCTGGTGTCTGTGGAGGATCCCAGACCAAGTAAGTCCCCAGAAGATATCAAAGGACAGCAGTGGATCTGTGGAGTTTCACTTTCGTTTGCTCCTTTTTCTTCCTGACTCAGTGGTTGCTGCTCTGACTAGTGTCTCAGAGGTCATTAGCAGAAGCAAGGAAGGGAGCAGATGTTCCAGGAGGGATCGGGGTCAGTGGTGCATGTCAAGAGCATGACGAACAGGCAGGATGAGGGCTGACACATGCCCTGAGAGAAGGAAGAGGGTTCGTTGTTTGTTTGTTTGTTTTTTAAGTAAAGCTGAGGTGAAGCTAAAAGCCACCACCCTACCCAATACCCCAGTACCATGAATCATGTAATGTTGCTGTGCCTCATCTCACATATGCCCCACAGATCCACACTTGAAAGTTCAGAGAGAGTAACTTCTAGATTCAAATCCTGTCTCTGTTACCTATAAACTAGTGACCTCAGGCAACCGAGTGTGTTTGCTCATCTGTAAGGTGGGAATGGTTATAGTTATTATCTCATGCAGTTGCTTGGGGGGGGGGGCTCAAGTGAGGTGGAATGAAAGCCGAGATTTGAGCTGGCTTGAGATTATGAACCGTTGCCAAGCAGACATCCATCCCTGGCTTCTATGTCAAGCACTGCCAAGACAAGAAAGAAAACGACCATAGTCATAAGCATTTATGGCCATGAAAAGTACTCAAGAGAGCTTTAAAATTATATTTTATCGATTTATTTTGTGTACACTTGATGGAGGAGGTGTATATGCCATAGAGTATGAGTGGAGGCCAGAGGAAAACTTTGAGTTGTCGCCTTTCTTTCTACCTTATGGGTCATGGGGATCAAACCCACATTATCAAGCTTAGCAGCAAGCTCCTTTACTCACTTAGCCATGTCCCAGGCCTTTGTACTCAAGAAGGTCTTATAGAGGCAGAATAAGTAGCAATCTCACTTTTCTCCAAGTGTTTGGAGAAAAGAGAGCATTGTTTATGGAAATGTGCTTCCTCAGCCCTCAGGTGACATGTTTGTCAGACTTGACCAACATTTTATAAGCTCAGCTCCCACCAGACTTCCCAGATATATGTGAAAAGCACTGACCAGTTACTTGGACACCTGACTGAAGAAAGAGAGCTTTATAACAAAATTCTGTAACCGAGGCTTTTAGTCTTGCTCCAAGTAGAGAACTAGTCTTTCTCTGAAATATTCTAAAAAGCCATCTTGGTAGTATAAATTAATTCTTCAGCTCTTTTTTGGCTTGTGTACAGTTTTCACCAACATGAGCTGTCATTAGAGTGTAAATTGCGGCTAGCCCACTCATTTTATTTGAGAGAGTTGTTCACAACATAGCTACTTAAGTCAGGCATTTTGTTCTTGTCAGAAATAAAACAGTAAATGACAGTGGCCCTGATCCTAACTGGCATATCTACTATGTTCTCGAGACACGCCTCCTAACAGGATTATCTGTTGCAGGAGCATGCTAACCTGCACTGGCATTTATTTCTCTTGACTGTTGTGTAACATTTGCTCCGTGAAAGAATTCTCCAGATTAAGGCGTCTTCTAAGTGGATGAGGTCAGCCTTGATCATGCTTGCCAAAGCAAATGTACCTTCGCTGCCATGGATATAGTCATAGAACGCTTACTTGAGAGGAAATCCTTTGATCAACATTGAGTTAATTTGCTGCAGAATATCTAAGAAGAATAAGCAGAGGATTTATTTTACAGGTAGACCATGATAAGGCCTTTTCCTTGTGTGTTCCGTAGAACATTCTGGAATGGCTTCACAGAGAAAAGTATCCATGACCAAGTAGCATCTGAAATGTTTTTGCCTGAGGGCAAATGTTTCCTTTTAAATAGTCATTAAGTGAGTCAGGTGTGGTGGCATGTTCCTTTAATCCAGAGCCTGTGAGGCAGAGGCCAGGTAGAGCTCTGTGTGTTTGAGGCCACTTGGTCTACATAGGTAGAGACTCCCCCAACCCCTCTGGTTTTTCTGAGACGGTTTTTCTCTGTGTAGCTCTGGCTGTCCTGAAACTTACTTTGTAGATGAGGCTGGCCTCGAACTCAGAGATCAGCATGCCTTTGTTTCTCAGGTGCTGGGATTAGAGGCATGTGCTACCACTGCCCAGCTGAGATCCCATCTCAACAAAGCGAACTAAAAGTTATCAAGTAGCCTGCAGAGTATTAATTTATGTGGCTCATGTCTATTAATACTTGCTCTACTGGGAATTAAAATGGAGATATTACAAATATGCTGCCTTTATTTAAATGGAAAAGCAACGCGTTCCTTATCTGTTAACATGAACAACATTTTAGAGATTGTAACTATATTTTCCAAAAAGCCTTTAGCAGTTAACGGTGGCCAGACTTTACTATTTCTGATGGCTGTAGTGTCTGTTTAAGAGAAGATGGTAGGTCCCCTGTAGCTGCTCTCCGTCCGTTCTTTTGTAGTACGTCATTTCTATCGAGTATCTGAAAAAAAGTAGCTTCAGAAAGACAGGTAGCGACCAAACAGAGAAGCTGCAGTCAGTTGCCTTTAATGCCACTACAATTCAGCTAATGATGCTTTCTTACAGTTTGGCTGCAGTGTAAAATCTGAGTCCACGGAAGGCGCTCTACACACATTTTATATTAAAATCCATTGGTTTATCTCTGTGCTTTTATGCATTCATGATTCTGCACCGTCGTGGACTGATTCCTTAGAAACTATCATCTCTTTAAGTAACATGGTATGTGATGTGCATGTGTGTACAAGCGTCCATGGAGGTTGGAAGAGGATATGTGGTCTCCTAGAGCTGGAGTTACAGACAGGCGTGAGCCACCAGACCTGGGTTGGGAACTGATCTCAGGTCTTTTGAAGAACAGTAGGCACTTGTCACCTCTGAGCATCTTTCCAGCCTCTAGATATAGTTTTGTTGGTTTTACTCATATGTATCTGCGTGCCTATATGAGTGAATAAATGCCACATGTGTGTTGTTATCCTCAGAAACCAGAAGGGGGCATCGGATTCCTCAGAGCTAGACTAACAAGTAGTTGTGAGCTGGCCCTCGTGGATGCTTAGAACTGAACTCGGGTCCTCAGGAAGAGGAGCAAGCTCTCTTAACCACTGAGTGGCCGTTCCAGTACCATAATGGTACCAAGTGCTTTTAATTGTTTCTTATCAAATTGGAACACAGCTCTTCAAATACTATTTCTGGCTCTGCTTCTGGTCTTCTGGATTTGTTGTCCAGTCTGTACACAGCGTGGGTATTTAATAACTGTGACAGGACAGGTGTCACCAGTGTGGGGGATGTTCCTAAGCTGCCCTTTTCCATTATTGCCAGGAGGTTTTCATCATTGCAGTTTCATACCTTTGTCTAAGTTTGAGGGGCTGATGTGAGGGAAAGGGTATAAGAGTGGTGTGGGGAGAGGGCCAGGGAGTGAAGGTTGGGTACCT